TTATATTTGGGATCTGTCTGGACTTTGAAGTGCTCTACATATACACTTATTCTTAACAATCTGCAGTCTTTCTGGACTTGTACTGATTATAGCATCTTTCCTTTGAATACACTACAGTTTTAGCGAATTTAAGAAATACTCTTTTATCTTCTATTGGCTCTAGAATTTCCCTTATAAACAGAGCTGATTCAGTAATTGGTATTTGTCCTCATGTATTTTCACCTCAAACATTATCAGAGCAGTGTATTTGTTTCAGTGGAAAAAGAGTAGCTGACTAACAAAATTAATCTTTCCCTTCATGTTCCTTATATTTATATCTTTTCCCCTTTTTTCTAAATATATATTAGATATTCAATACATATTGCTTGAACTGTTTATTTCTAGTCACTTCCACGTTAAAGTTGCATACAGGCATGGTGGCATGCATTAGGTAAGCATCAGGAGACATAGGTAGGCGGATCTCTGTAAAATGCCAGCCTGCTCTACATAGTGAGCTCTAGGTCAGCCAAGGCTACACATTAAGACCCTATCACAGCAAACAAACAAAACAAACAAACAAAAGAAGGGAAGCATATGTGGGCTGGAGAGATGGCTCAGTAATTAAGATCAATGGCCGCTCTTGCAGAAAAAAAGGTTTGGTTTCCAGCATCCACATGGCAGCTCACACTACAGTTTTACGGGATCTGATGCATTTTTGTGGCCTCTATGGGCACGAGGCACACACAGAGTGCACATGTATAATACATGTAGTCAAAGCACTCATACACAAAATAAAAATATATCTTAAAAACATATGGAAACGCAAATGTGTATATACATGTAATAAAGACAGAATGGAAAAGACCTAATTAGCCAAAAGAACTTTGCTAAAGCAGAGCCTTGTTAGATCCATGTTATCTATTGAAAAGACATTAAAAGCTATGGCCGCCAAGACAATATATTTATATCATCAAATAAATCAAAGCAGAGATCAATGGAAGAAAAAGACATATGAAAATTACTACCAAGAGGTTCAAGGCAGTGTTCAAAAACAGTGTTGTGTTTGCAGTAAATAGTCTAGATAAAATCAGATGTTTTTATGAAAAACAAAACAAAACCTGATTTTTCTATCCTATGTAAAAACAAAACAAAAAGCAAAAAACCCCAAACCAAACAATTACCCAAAACACAACAAACAACAACAAAAACCCTCAATTATTTATAGATCTAACTATAGAACCTAAAATTATAAAATTCTATACTAAAATACCAGAGAAAATTATCTCTGACATTCAGTGGGGGCAAAGATTTCTTAGATGACACCAAAACCATAAAAGCAAACAAACAAACAAACAAAACTCGGGAAAAATTGATTTACATCAAAGATAAAATCTTACTTTGAAAAATATGTTAAGTGAATAAAAACACAAGACACAGAAAAAGAACTTTCAAAGTCAGTAAAAAGAAAACAACTGCTAAACCAAGGCAAAAACCTGAACATTTTGTCAACGGAGGAATCACCAGGCAATTACAAATTTAAACCAAAATAAATATACATTTGTCCAGCTTAATCTGTCAGCTAACGTGGAGAGGAATGAGATTCCACTAGGATTTTAAAATGGGCTAAGTACTTTGTAAAACAACTATCAAATTCTTTATAAGTCAAACATGTATCTTCTATATGTTCCAGCCCTTCTCCTACTAATTCACCCCAGAGAAACGAAAGGACACGTCTATACAAAGATGGATCCACAGGTATTCTTAACAGCCTGGACTGCTTTGGCCTGTTAGAACAAGAGCCCCTACGGGTGGCAAGTCATCTCCCCATTGTAATAAAGGCGGCAATCACCTCAGATCACTCGAGGAATGGTAAGCCACACCTGGGGAAGTATATGAAGTCCACACCATATTCTTGTTTCTAGCTCCAGGCTCAAAGATCAGAGGGAAGTATAGACTCTCAAGTAGTAGAAGCCAACAGCTCTCATTCTTATCACCAAGCCTTCATGAATCTCTGGTGAGGCATGAACGAATTTTGCCAATCTGCTCCTGTCTAATACAGAGCATTAATTACAATTAACCATCTCCCAGGCTTGTGGTAAGGATTAGCAAATAAAACAACCACAGCACGCAGTGTTAAAGCTGCTGTTCTTAAAAGTATTAAAGGGAACTTTTCCTAAAAAATAAGCTCTTGCTTGCTGCCCTTTGACTTTTAGACTTTAAAAAAGTGTGTGTCACAGAGACTAAGCAATATGTTAACAGAAAAATGTAAGAAGGCTGTGGAACACAATCTCTAAGACCTCAAAGAGAACTACTATTATGTAAATCTGCAAGCAGCTCACCCCTAACAAACACTCTCCCCACAGCACCTTCCAAGGAGCCATCACAACATTTCTGCTTATTAAAAAATGAAGCTATTTTGGTCCTCCGGCGGGCTGCCAACATGGGACCCGGAGACACGCAGGCTGCCATCTGCCTCCCCCCAGCTGTTCCTGACCTGTCATCCACCCCCAACCAGGGACGCCTGTTATGTGCCAGGTCAGCTAATCAACTGAGGAGGGCTGGGATGCAGCATGGACGGACGAATGTGCTGCCACACCACAGCCAGACTCTGAGCTGAGCCTTCCTCTCATCACTGGGTGGCATGCTACTCTCCATGACAACGCAGGCCTCTGATTCTGAGGAAAAGATCCTTCCCTGAAGAACTGCAGCCTTTTCTACAGTGTGACAATGGATTCAACATTCGCCATGCCTTTTCTAGAAACCACAGTCCACGCTAAAACTGTAAAATTCTCAAAACTGTTTTTTCACAACTGAAACTAACTACCCAGATACAAGTATCAAGATACTAAAGTTTCCAGATGAGGCAAGGTATGTGCTGCATCATCAGTGCATGAAACCCCAGAGCCAGGACCAGGTCTAACTACCAGCTTCTAAGCTGCGACAAGCAGTTTTTAAAACATCTGCTACAAATGTGATATGGTTAAAAAAAAAAAAAAAAAAAAATCAATGATTTTAATTGGTGAGAAAGACAAATGCTGCAAATAGTACAGGCATCTGCCATCTATACTCACAACAGAAGAAAATGCTAAGCATTAGCATTTGATTTGCTAAAATGTGATTTTCATGCTTACCCAATTTGTAGATCTCTATAAAACGTTCTCTGCAGACCCCAACAAAGAAAGTATATGGAGGCATGACTTCTCCGACAGAAGCGAAGGGCCTGTGGCAGCACAGTTGGGCTCTCTCATCCTCATTTTTCCCTACCCACTACCCAGGGCTTCTAGGAGGGCCTGAAGACCACTCCAGAAGAGTGCTCTAGAGGGGTGAAGAACACCTGTGTAGCACTCCCAGGCCTGTTTCCCAACCTCGAAGCCAAACCACACCCAGCCCAAACCACACCCACCTCACATATCTGCCTCAGTTCCCTCCTCCTGTGTCAGTTGTCTTTTACATGCTTTACTTCCGCTGGTGCTCTCCGAATGCCCTGTTTTCCAAGTGCTGTCTGTCAGTTTTAACCTCCCGACTGTCTGAGTCACTTTTACTCTTATTTTCCCTTCAGATGTAGGATTTCTGTCAACGAATGCACTGCCTTGAACACCTGCAGTTTGCCGTGATAACTACAGCATCCGCTCCTTTTCTCTCCTAAGCAGTGTGTCCCACTGTGGTCAGCTCCCACAGAGTAGCGTACAGCCCATGCCCAAATGTCCAGATGTTTTTTATCCCTTCTGCTGCCTCAACAACAGACTTCCTGTAAAGATCCCTGGTACCCAGAGATACTGGCGTTCCCAAGCTTTCAGATCCATGATGTCGAGAGATTTCAAATGTTCTCCTGGGATAAGAAGATGGGAAGGGAGAATGTACCTCAGGTCCTGGGAGCTGATGGAGCTTGCAGCTGCTACCTGTGCCCCGATCCACGGCGGAAAGCCCATCAGCTTTCCATCAGTCAGTTAAAACATGATGGTGGCTACTGGCTGTGACAGGGACAGTGGCGAGCCTATGCCATGGCAGCAGTAAGTGTTACTCTAAGGCACTGGTTCTTGATCTTCCTAATGCTGCAACCCTTTAACACAGCTCCTCATGATGTGTTGACCCCAATCATAAAGTTATCTTCATTACTACTTCATAACTGTTAGGAATTGTAAATATTTGTGTTTTCCAACGGTCTTAGGTAACCCCCGTGAAAGGGTCATTTGACTCTCAAAAGGTTACAACCCACAGGTTGAAAACCTATGCTCTAAGTGATGGACCCGCTCAGGGAATAAGAACTGTTCCAGGCAGGACAGCCAGAAGCTGCAGGCTAAGATTAATAAATTGTTCAATATGCCTTCATGTTAGGCCAGTGATTTTAAGGTCCCTCTGAGAAGTCAAAAGTCATTCTCTAGGGATGCTAGCCACAAGAACCACAGAAGGCCTACCTAGTTGAAGTATCTCAGAGGGTCAGGTCTCTGGTGTCCTAGCTTAAACCCCAATTTCAGTTACTTAAGAGAAACTCCAAGAGTTCATAGCTTGTAACTTTTCATTTTCACAAAACTTGTTTTGAGGCTTTATATTATGCTTTGTATAAACTCTGAGCCTGGGAAGGACTCATTTAGACAGCTAGCATACATCATTATCACTGTCCTTGCATGGTTTACCCCGACCCTGAAGACTCAAAACATCCACAAAGTCACAAAAATGTTTCCTAAAAAAAAAAAAAAAAAAAAAAAAAAGCTGAGAAACAGCCAGTTTTTCTGATAATGAAAAGAATAGACTTTTAAAAAAGATATCTTAATAAGAGCATTAGTTCTGACTAAAGCAAACGACAAGATGTCAAAGTACAGTGGCTTGGATTTGAAGTGAATAGGAGTTCACATAGTCTACATGGGAACAGGAAATACATGAATCTTTTGTTAATGTAACTGGGTTCAAGATATCTCTCTCTCTCTCTCTCTCTCTCACAAACTTCTCAGTACTACAAAAGAAAAAATAAAAACCCAAAGTGTTAAAAGTGGATGTGACACCAGCAGTGAAGAAAAGCTTACTTGTAAAGATAGTACTCTGCAGAATCTATATCTTCTCGAGATGAAATGTTGTCCACAAACTACAGGAGAGAAAAAAAAAATACAATTATGCCATTGTCTAGTTCATACACTGCTCTTTAGAAGATATGCACTCTCCTTACTGTAACGATACCCCTGTGGTGAACCTCCACCTTAAAAACCCTTCTCACCGGTGAAAACACACACACACTGTAGCTTCTCCTATATGTAGAGAATAATCCTGGTCCAAACCAAACAACAAAGCAGCCAGGAAAAGCTAAACCCGAGCCTTGCTCAGATAGCACGAGCTGTTCCCAGTACTGTCTACAGCCCCTGCCCCTTTCTCTTTCCTCTACATCATTTCTGCTCCAAAATTCAGGGAATGAAGGTTGAAATGGTGGAGATTCTTAACACGGGAACAATACTGTTCAGAACATAAACACCTAGAGTGTAGAGAAACCAGTGTGCACCACTTTCACTCTGATTTAGGGCCGATATGGAACAAGCATGTCAGGACTGAGGGCTCTCATCAAGCTACAAAATCTGTGGAGCATTGTGGCTGGGAGAGCAGCTCATTGATGGAGAGTACTGGACCAAAATTCATGAGGCTCTGTGTTCAATCTCTAACACTTGAAAACAAAAATGTGAAAACTCTGAGTATGTTCCTAAATGTGTCTAAATGGGCAGAAAATAGCACCCAAGGATGGACTCTGCCCTCAGGTGGGAATCACAAGACGGAGGACAGAACGAGAGTCTAGGCAGGCTGTGAGTGTAACTAAAACCCCATGAAGAGAGAGAAGGGAGAAAAAAGGGAGATGTTCTAAAAATAACCAGGACTTGTGGGTTTGATTTAGAAACCCATTAAAGGGCAGATAACATGTGGTGCAAGCACCGGCCCTGAGCTTGAGAACCAGCTCTCCTGATAGTTTGCTCTCACACAAACAGATGGCACGGGCCCTCTGGGACCTGGCTGCTCCATCTGTATCAACAGCTACAGGCTTCCGCCCTGAGGACTATGAGTCTCAGGTTGGAACATGCACAAAAAAAAGTGCTTTAAAGCTCCAAGTGATGTTTAAACGAAAATCGGGTATTATAGCCCAAAGAGGGGTGGCCACCCTGAAAACAATGGTCTCTCAATTTCTTCTCCACTGTGACAGATCTGAGCCCCACAAATCTAACTGATGGCAGCTGAACTGTTTCCCTATTAAGAGGACAAAAGGCACAGAGAAAAGGCTGGAAAGATTCATTCTTTCCTTTCCCTCTTCTAGATTTAGAATGTCCTGATCGAAGGATCTTGCTTACTTCCACAAAAGGCATTCCTAAGATCTCATCACCTCCAAGGGAGCTACAACCACCCTCAACCTGGAAATGGGGAAACCCAGGAGCACTGCTGCCCAGTATCATAACCTTAAATCACCATCAAGACAAGACCAGGCACATTTGATGGAGGCAACAGAGGTGGGCTTTGATGTTCCAGCCTTTCTGCCTACAAACTGTGATTCTGGAAATTTCCCTCACCATCCATCCCTCACAAATACCATGCTCATCTCATATGGCTCCTGTGGAAATGAACATGATGTATGGCAAGAAACTCGACGAGTAACTGCCATGGAAGGGCTCTGCAGTGGTTCCTACCAATTACCACTCCTGATGGCTGGCCTGATTGTCTTCCTAACCACTACCTAGCAGCAGTCAGCTCAACATTAGTATCAGCTACTGAAATTATGTTAACTACTCTTACACTGAAGGCTACATTAACTTTAAATACACAGGATAATGTAACCCGAGGAAAAATATTTTATAAATCCGTGCTTGCTAACTTGAGTCTGGTATCTTTACTTCCTTTCCTTTCAGCCACTATATCATAAACTATCCATTGGTAATTCTATTTCCCATGTTTCCACATTTCTACAACACAGCCTTGCATGCAGTCTTGCTTGCTTGTTTCCTTCTTTGAAAATAGGTTTAAAATGGTCTTACCCGTGATATTGACAAAGAACTAACAGGCAGCTTTCTTTCATATGCTTTGTCCATTAAGGATGCAAGATCAGCTGTGAAGACAAAGGAGAAAGAACCTTGTTAAACATACACATTTCTCCATAAAAATCTAACAGATTTGGCTCCTGCCAGATGGCTGTGAACATTACAAAGTCAGTATCTGAACAGATGCTCACTCTTGCTCTTTTTCAGAAACTGAGGACAACTGACTGTTGTCACAGTTTTAAATAATTCGCTGAACTAGAGAATATAAAATAATAACTTAAAAAGGGCAAATTCAGCTCTTAAATGGATCAATAAGGTCCCTGTGTAAGGAAAGACAAAGAATTATGTCTGTCAAGTCCAGGAACAGACACTACATGAGGGCAAGCATAGGACCTGTCGCTGTCTTATTCCCAGCAGTGCACACCAGTCAAATCAGCTGCCCTAAAGGTTTTACAAAGGGCACTTTCATACCTTTCCTGAGCAAAGCAGGGAAGCCCCTGCCTGTCCTTCCTGATTAGTACCCTCCACCATCCAGGTGTGGGTGCCTCTCAACAGAACATCCTTGGAGACACTTGGAACTTGTGGCATTACACTCATCTCAGATGCTAAAAATCACCTGCAGTCTTAGGCAACACACACTCCAAATTGTTTATGTCACAACACAACACTGTTTCTCAAGTTTACAGTATTTTCTAGCTCCCCTCACTGTCAGCTGATGATTCTATCCCATTTCACTGCCAAACTAATCAAGAGAGCATCATCCTTGTATCAGATCTCCCAGGCCAATGGTAGCTCTCCAGCCTCTCTTATTTGACCTCTCTTTAGCTAGAGATATCCTTAAGAAAACATGTATCCCGCACCCTCAGCCCATTTCTCAGGCTCCTCTCCAGGATCACCTCTGTGTCTCTAGATGTCAGAATGCTCAGGTCTCCGCAGCGGAGTCCGCTACGGCTTCACTGGCCTCAGGCGCTGCATGATGGCAGTCTCTCCCACAGCTTCAGCCTCATAGTAGGCTCTGTGTGTAAATACCTACCCCAAGTGGCCTTTCATTCCAGACCTGCACTTCCAGTTGTACAGCGATATCTCCATCTGTGTGTTTCATAGGCCATCCAATTGCATGTCCTCTAAAATTCTTCAACTCTCCACTCTAAATATGCTTTCCCCTTCCTGGTAACAAGAGATGGCTGGCTAGCTGGAAAAGCGGGAGCTACCCTTGATCCCACTGGTTTTCACACTCTCTAAGTAACTGCCAACAACACCTATCAACTCCAGATTTGAATATATACATTTATTTCATCATCTCCATTGCTGCCCTTTCAATCTCTTACTGACCATACTTTAATTATCAAAGGGTGCTAGGGGATAGCTCAGTTGGTAAAGCGTTTGCCGGGCAAGCGTGAAGACCCAAGTCTGATCACAAATGTAAAACGCCAGGCATGGTGGCGTGTGCTTATGATCCCAGCAGGTCACTGGGGCTATCTGGTCAGCCAGGCAGCTGACGTGGCAAGTTCCAGACCAGTGAGCAATCTTGTCCTAAAAAACAACGTGAAAGAAACTTGAGGCTCTCCTCTAGCCTCCGCCCACACATGCAGAGATACACATGTAGGCTGTATCATCCACGCAAATACACACATCACCTTACTCTTACAACTGAACTGCTGTCAAGCATGCAGGTTGAGGGAGGCTTTTAAACAGTTCAGATCCTATTATCCTCTTTCTGAACCAAAATCACTAACTACAAATGCCCATGTAAGATGGTCCTCTCCTTCCCTTATGTTAAAAGTGTCAGGGAAGAACTGAATTCACCAACCTACACTCATTTTACAGGACAGTTCCATGAAAAGCACTCAGGAAATATGTAAAAGAAGGATGAGGAATAAATGATTACACTTCCCAGGCTTCCTCATGGTGGGCGTTGGGGGAGTGGAACAATCTTGAGTCATTCAGAGACTCAACAGACACCTGTTCACTGGTAACCTCTTACTGCACATTAAGCACTTTTTCTTCTTTCCTTGGGGAAATTTCCCCTCTGCTTTATAGCAACTGGGGAAAAACAACTTGGTAAAACTCCTAAGAGCTGACATGATGTAAAGAAATAGCCTTTTAAAATGACCATTTAAAAAGTATTGAAACAGGTGATTACAGCATCTATAAAACCCACAAACAGATCCTTAAAACCCCTTCCTATCAGGGATTAATACTGTCAAGTATACTTGCTCATAATTAGATACCAAATAACTCTTTTGTGCTACCAAATCTATAATTATGACCACTCACATCAATGACCAATATGAGTTATCACCTCCCTTTATCCAAAATTTATGCTGTATTAAAATAAACAAACAAATAAACAAAAAGCCAATATCAGAAGATGCTGTCCTAATTAAAATGGCCTCCAGGGTCCTTTCTCTTGTCCTTTCACAGAGCCCACACAGCGTCTCGCCCACTGCAGGATTGAGATGGCCACTGATCACCTCCAAGCATGGTAACCAGATTCTCTCTGAAGACTTTACACCCAGGCATCTTCAGTCAAGTAGAATTGGCCGCGGCTTCAAAAGAGGCCACAGCTGCAGAGCTCCCATCCGATGAGTAACGTTTAAACACTTCAAGTCAGAAAGGCTTGCTGCAAATACACTATGTGACCAATCACCCTGCATTACAGCAACAGTGTGATGAATGAGGCAGAAAACAGCAAGGGTGGGAGGGCTAGGAAGGCAGGACAGCTGCAGCCTATGGAAGGCCAGCGCCACAGGCTTCTGGACCGTGGCCTTCCACAGCCAAAGTCACACTTTCTGCTTTAGGGAGGGGCCAACAGATGCTCAAGTTCTGTTCAACCGGCTGTGCCAAAGACATTTCACTAGGTTCTCAGCTCCCCCGGAACACATACTGAAGCTGATGGCTGTGGACAGCAAAGACTACGGGGAAATGGATCTGAAATATAAGTTCTTCATTTAGCAGAATTTTCAACCACACAAGGCAGCAATAAAATTAGATGAGCAAAATGACAGAAGGGAATGCTAACAGGCAAGTGCTGTACACCTAGAAAAAAGTCAGTGTAAAGATATTTTAAACAAACAAAACAAAATGTATTAGCAGTACTCACTAAGGCACTATTCCAGGGTTGATTTTTAGCAGGTTTATCTTTAGAAGGTGATAGCAGAAAAATTGGGAGTAAATAAAGGTGTCAAAATAGCTGCTTAAATGAGGTGTTTTGAAGGATAAAGCTTTAGCAGTGAACACTAGCATATGGTTTTTCTGTCTCTCTGTCTCTGTGTGTGCATGTGTGTGTGAGCTGTCCTAAAAGACAAGGTGGTGAGCATTAGCATGTGAGTTAAATAACTACCTTAGAAGATGTAGGACAATAATCTTTTAAAAATGGGGATAGATGGCACAACTTTCAGACCAGCAGAATGGGGAAAAAAGTACAAACCAAACCACCTCTAGCTAAGGCAAGAGAAGGGGACTGGGGAGGCACTCTCTGCCTGTCATATAAGTGAACTGCCTTCTTCCATAGGCTTCCACCACAGTTCAGAGAGAAGGAACCATGGCCCAAAACCTTGAGGCCAGGGAATATGATAAGCTCCTTTTCCTTAAAAGCTGTCTTCCTCAGGTATTTGTCACAGTGATAGAAAGCTGGCGCAGAGAACACTGACAAGGAGAACAAGGAATGAACGGAGGTTGGAGTCCTTCAACTTCTAGCTTCAACCCTGACCCAGGTGAGGCCTCCCCTTTCAGATAAGAAGGATGCCCTGGAGCCTACAGCAGGCTAGAGCTGGGACTCAGAGAACTCACTCACAAAGTAGGGAATTTAGGATAAACTTAGATGAGTGGACAGGAAGTACGCACCTATCACAGGAACATGATACCCAAGAAAAATATCTCCCTGTGTCTAAAAGAATTAAGCTCCCCAAATAGCACTCTTAAGAGAGCCCTTCAGACAGCAGTCCACCTCATTGTCTGCTGCTGTTTTGTGGGAAATGGCTGCTCAGGTAGGCCGTGAGCTCTCCACCAACTTCAACAGTAGCTCTGATGTTTTTTTGAAACTTGACCTTGAGTTTGTTTCTGAAGCCTTCTCCTCCACTCAGCTCCATGCATTAACATACAATCTCTCTAAGCCACAAAGTAACAAGCAGCTAAATCAAACACACAGAAGTCACCAATTGGCTCTTTCATCAAGGACTAAACCTTTGCAGTAACGGTGGAGAATGAAAGCCATCAGTCTGGGAGACTGCTATTGTACCCCAGCTTCCCAGATGTCTAAGAATCCCTGAGAGTCTGGGCTGTACTGACCTCAGAAGTCGGCACGTGTAGACTTCGTAACAATGTTGACTCTTACAACCCAGGCAAACAAAAAATAAAAGCAAAAGCAACAACAAAACAAAAACAGGGGATAAGACTAATCACAAACAAAATATGACCAAAAATAAGTTCAGATATACCATCAACCATGAAAAAACAAAAACAAAAACAAAAACCACAAAAACCAAAACCAAGGCCTGAATCTGACCAAATTACTTTTTTACAGCCACCGTTTATACGGGACAGAGGGAAAACCAAGCAGGCCTAGGATGTGAGCTCCACTACTAAAGGCAAGTCTGCCGGGGTGAGTGTGACACGCGCGTAGGTCCTCTCTAAATGAAGAGAGCGTGTTTCAGACATGAGGAAATGTGTGCTGGGTTATTTAATTATGGCACTATAGTTGTCTTCAAAAACACTCATCTTTTGGAGGTACGCATCAAAACACATATGAAATGATTAGGTAACAGATTTACTTGAGCAATCTGATGATATCAAATTAGTAACTGATAAATCTGGTTCACCCCTATGTTTCTACAAAAAGATTTTACTGAAGAGTCAAGAGAAAGTACAGTCAACTGTATTGGCATGCTTCAGTTGGGTCCGTGTTCAATTAGGCCACTAAAACTATATAACAATACAGAAGATGGTTGGGCGCGGTGGCACACACACTCAATCCCAGCACTTGGGAAGCAGAGGCAGATGGATATCTGAGTTCAAGGTTGGCCTGATCCGCAAGGATTACACGGTGAGACCTTGCCTCAAAAACAAA